GTGTCTCAGGAGTGTCTCAGGAGTCGGGGCAGGCGTTGGCAAGGGACTTGGCACTAGTGGCACTGTAGGTACTGTTTCCGCAATTTGTTTCCCCTTCCTACTATAGGTAAGTAGTTCCCCCTGAGCCGTTGGTCTAACCCCTCTTGTCTCATTCTCCTCTTCTTCTTCATTCTCTTGCTCCTCCTCAACCAAGTCTCCTTCCCAAGGAATCGTTACAGAAATTGATTTTTCGACATTGATTTCTCCATTCTCTCACCATTCTCCTCCTCTCGCCTCATACTTTTAGTATTGAGCGAGTTATCAATGGATGAAGTTACCTTCCGGGTGTAATATAGCTCGAGTTCTCGGAAGTGCACGTCCATGCTCACAAACAACCTTTTCTCCACCGGGCTCCAGCAAACATATCCCTTCTGAGTAGCAGAATATCCTACAAAGATGTACTTCACAGCTCTAGGGACAAGTTTTCCGACAGATGGCTTGTTGTCCTTCACAAAGCACACACAGCCAAACACTTTAAGTGGAAGAATCCCACCATTATCTCCCTTTAATGTCTCACACGGAGACTTCCAATCCAGCACTCTCGAGGGCGTTCTGTTGATCAGCGCTGCTGCGGTCAACACTGCTTGCCCCCACAATGTTTCTTGCCCCCATAATGTTTCTGGGACATTCATAGAGATCATCATGCTTCTAGCAACCTCTAAAAGATGTCTGTTCTTCCTTTCCGCTACCCCATTCTGTGCTGGTGTGTATGGACAGGTTGTCTGGTGATGTATTCCCTGAGCTGACAAATATTCTTCAAACGCTCTGTTGGTATACTCTGTCCCATTATCCGACCTCAATATCTTCACCACTGCTCCGTATTGAGTCTGAACATTCCTATGAAAGTTTTGGAAGCACCCAAACACTTCACTCTTATTCTTCATCAAGTATAACCAAGTCACACGAGAGAAACAATCAATAAATGTAACAAAATACTTGTATCCATTCATAGAACTTGTGGAACAAGGCCCCCAAACATCTGAATGTACCAAGTCAAATACACGAGAACTTCTTTGACCTGAACTAACATAAGAGCTTCTAGTAATCTTTCCAAACTCACATGCATCACATACAAGTTTCTGTTTATTTGCTTTCTCAAATAAAGAAGGATACAATCTACTTAAAATACTAAATGATGAGTGTCCCAAACGCTGGTGATGAAGCATTAATTCATTCTCAGTACTCATATTAGATTCTACTCCTGCTTCCTCTATGACTGACACCAATGCTGAATCCAGCCCTTCACGATCCAGATACCACAGTCCACTACGCCATGTGCCAGTCCCAAGTCTCCGTCCTGTCCCCTTCTCCTGAAAAATCACCTTGGGAATATCAAAAGAAACAATGCATTTTAGTTGGAGGATGATAGAACTAATGGACAAAAGATTGACTGGAAATGAAGGAGCATGCAAAACATTGGACAAAGTTACAGAACCAGTACAATCGACTGTACCCTTACCAACCACCGGCTGAAATGTACCATCAGCTGTTTGAATACTATCAGGTGATGCTAAGTGAGTATATGATGAGAACTCACTAGCATTACCTGTCACATGTCGAGACGCGCCAGAATCGACTATCCATTCTGATGATCAGTTGGGAGACATAAAAGCAAGAGCATGTATGTCATCAGTACCTTTGGTCGGATGAGCATAGGTAGCAGTATTGCCTCTGACCAAGAACGAGGTGGATGCCTCCTTAGTCCCACTCCTCAAGTCTCCATCGCCTGCTACTTGCTGCTTCTTCCTTAGTATCGCCAGGAGAGCATGGTCCTCCTCAGTAAAGACCACCTCAGCTTCTTCTTCTTCTGCTACCGTCAGATTCGCCCGATTCCCTGCTCCTCTTCCACCTCGTCGACCCCCACGGCCACGACCACGACCTCCGAACTGTCCACGTCCCCCTCGTCGCCCCCCACGGCCACGACCACGACCTCCGAACTGTCCACGTCCACCCGAATCTCCTTCCTTGGATGGTTTGGTGCAAGCGTGCATTAGATGACCCACCGCACCACAGTTGTAGCACTGTCTAGTCTCTCCCCTAGATCCAGTGTTGCTAGAGGCTGCCAGTGCTGACTTCACCACAGGAAGTCCGCATGTCCCCGCCTGCAGCCTAATGCGAGTCTCCTCCTAGATCATAGCAGAGACAGTCTCCTCAAGCGTGGGAATCTTCGGATGAGCGAGCAGCAATGCAATTCGCCACAGACGTTCCAGCTCTGTAGCATATTCCTGTACAGTCCTCTCTCCCTGGACTGTGGCGTCGATCTCTCCTTTGATCTGGAATACCCTCAGGTTATTCCCCACTCCATCATATGTCCTCCTCAACTTCTCCCAGACGTCCTTCACCTTCTCAATGCCATCCACCGTGGCGGCGATCGTCAGGACCAACGAGTTGAGAAGCCAGATGTACACCAACATATGAGTGGACTTCCACTCATCTCTTCCCTCTAGCATATTCCTGTACAGTCCTCTCTCCCTGGACTGTGGCGTCGATCTCTCCTTTGATCTGGAATACCCTCAGGTTATTCCCTACTCCATCATATGTCCTCCTCAACTTCTCCCAGACGTCCTTCACCTTTTCAATGCCATCCACCGTGGCAGCGATAGTCGGGACCAACGAGTTGGGAAGCCAGATGTACACCAACATATGAGTGGACTTCCACTCATCTCTTCCCTCTGAGTCCTCCTCCGGCTCTGTCACCTCTCCTGTCAGATAACCCTCCAGATTCCTCCCTGCAAGGATGTATCTCACCCGTCGCGACCAGCTCAGGTACGTATTCGGTCCATCAAGCTTCAGATCGATGGTCGGAAGCTCCAACTTCTTCGATGGTCTTGTCGCGCTTTCATCAGCCGACAACTTCATCAACTTCATCAAAGTTGACACCTCCGCAGGGTTCAACTTCTTGATGATCTCCTCCATCGAACAAGCTTCAGAACTAACATTTGGTCACCTACTCTTCCAACCCTTGTTGTGTGCAGTGAAAATTTCGGCAGCACCTCTGCTGCACAACAAGAGTAGGATCGCAAACAAATTCTCGTTTCTCAGAGGAAACAAGAACCAAAAACAGTTATATATCTCATCGATGTGAGATATATACTCTTCTTGTCATCAGTTCGAGGACTGAGTCGAGGGAACACATGTCAAACTCTAGGTCCGGCATGACGCAGCAAGGGGCGGTCAAAGGGTGGGGGGTTTGGTAGCAGCGAAAGCCGCCGCCGACCAAGTTCGCTCCGACCGCCGCCGGCGACCAAGGTAAATTTTGTTTTTTTTAAATTTTGATTAGCCATGAAATTTCGGATTTGGGAATGGATTTGGGTTGAGATTTGGGAATTATGGTTGAGAGGAATGAATTTAGTTGAGATTTGGGATTAAGGTTGAAATTTGGGAATGTATTTAGTTGAGATTAGGGAATTAGGGTTTAGACATGAATAATGTGATTAGGGTTTAGATATGATTAGGGTTTAGACATGAATAATGTGATTTGGGATTAGGGAATTTAGCCATTATTTGCTTTGTAGTTGAGATTAGGGTTTTAAATTTGACTTTAAATTAAGATTAATATTTACAGTTATAATAGATTATTTACATATGATGGACTGTTGATTTTCAGCTTCGATGGCAAACTCTATACCCATTATTTGCTTCTTCAATGGGAGCCTCGGCGTCGGATTGAATAGTATGCCGATGTATGAGGGAGGTTCTAGGAAAATGTTTATGCTATCCAAGTCATTAAATTTTGATGGAATGATGAATGAAATACACAGAGTTACGAAAATTAATAAAGCATGTTATGCAATTAAAGTGTTCTTCAATTGTCCGGTAAATGAGAGTAGAACTATTGCTGTGGCGATTACCGACGATGAGGAATTGAATGACATGAAACAATTAGTGGAGAAGCAAGTGTCAGTTGAGTTGTTCATTGAGAAGTATCCGATTCAAGAATTTGCCCAAGTTTCACGACCACAAGGAGAGTTTTCTCGGATGATGGACTTAGACAATGAGTCGAGTGGTTTTATGACATCTCCAAGTCAAGAGCCGTGGTGTCAACTACAACATTTAAGTGGGCATTGTCTTGGTGGGACGTCAAGTATTATATTTAACGACGCATCGGGCTATGTTACGGGTGATCTACCGGCCGGATCAATTGTAGAAGAAGAAGTAAATGATGACTCAGAAGATATTGAAGAAGAAGACGTGCAAATTGATAGCATGCATGTGGCAGTTGGAATCGATGATGATTCTCGTTGGATGGATCAATTTAATGTTAACAATGATTATGTGGAAGTTGAAGATCCGTTGCCCGACGAGTTTCATAATGAAGATTGGATAAATACTTCGCAAGCTGAATTTGTTGATGTTGGTCCAAACTTTCAACGGCCTGAGGACTTCACTTTTAAAAAAGGGGACCTATTCGAGAGCAAGGAAGCATTGATCTTTGCGGTCGAGAATGGTCTATCAAAAATCGGGTCAAATTCAAGCCTGTAAAAACTAATACAACCAACTACTATGTAAAATGTTATTTCAACGAGAAGAATGAAGTAGAGCATGCAAATGAGCAAGATGAGAGAAACAGGAAATGTCCTTGGTTGCTAAATGCCGCTGTGAGGAAATCAACAAATGGGCAATTTGTAATATCTAGATATTGCGGGCTTCATACATGTTGCAATCCGTCGGTGGACGTCGATCATTATTCTGCATCTTCCTCTTATATATGTAAGCTAATTATGCCTGAAGTTAGAGCTGAACTTGATCTAAATGCAAGTCAGATATTTCAAAGGGTATATGATATGCGGGGCATTAAGATATCTAAATATAAGGCATATGATGCAAGGAGGAAAGCGTTGTCGAAAATATTTGGAGATTGGGAAAAATCTTATGAATTACTTCCATAGTATCTTGAAGCTATCAAGCGAAATAATCCAGGTACTGAATATGAAATACTGTCTTAAGAGATTGCACCGGGGATGGAGAGGTTCACTCGAGTATTTTGGGCATTTGGTCCGGCTATTAAGGGCTTCACTTTTTGTCGTCCGTTATTGAGCATTGACGGTACGCATCTATATGGCAAGTACAAAGGCGTGCTTCTTGTGGCGACCGGTGTAGATGCAAATGGCGGTTTATTTCCTCTAGCATTTGCAGTTGTGGAGGTAGAGGATACTTCTAGTTGGAAGTGGTTCTTTGAACTTATATACAAGTGGATTCCTAGTGTCCGTGCGCCCAGATTAATTACTTTTATCTCAGATAGGATGAAAGGAATTATAAGGGCATTACATGAGGGTTTTGGTGCACCACATCACCATCGATATTGTTTGAGGCATATAAGAGATAATTTTAAGAAAAAACACGGTGAGATTAATTTGCAAAATCTTTTGTGGCAAGCTGGGTGTGCAACCGATACATTAGTGTATGAACATTGTAGAGAGAAGATCAAGTCTTTGTCATTAGATGCACATAATTGGATTGAACATAACTTGAAGCCTCAATTCGAGCATCGATGGGCATTATGTAAGGATGAGGGTGTGCGGTTTTGCATGATGACAACTAATTGCTCCGAGAGCTTTAACGGCGTTCTTAAAGGAGCACGAGCTATGCCAATACAATCATTGGTTGCAAGAACGTTCTATAGGCTAAACTCATACTTCAACAAAAGGCGTGAGGACGGTGTAGACTGGACAACGCGTTACACACCAAAGAATGAGTCTATTTTGCATAGAAGAATTGAGGCGGCAAGATTATGTCAAATTACTGTATTCAATGACAATAAATGGTAGGTACAGGATTATGACGGTATCTACACCGTTAAACTGTTTGATGTTGATTGCACTTGCACATGTAACATACCACAACTTCAAAAAATACCTTGTGCACATGTTCTTGCGGCTTCATCCAATCAGCTGGGTGGTGCGAGAATTCCATATAATCGGTATTGTTCACCATGGTATTCAACAATTCATTACCGAAAGACATACAGTGAGAGTTTTCATCCACCCGATGATAGTCGGTATTGGCCCGAATATACTGGACCACGACTAATTCCACCTCAATACAAGAGACAAGCAGGTCGACCACGATCTGTACGAATTAGGGGAACCATGGATCAAGGACGAGAAGGAATTGTCAAGCATAAAAAATGTAGTCTTTGCAAACAACCGGGACATACTCGACCTCGTTGTCCAGCTAGACTCAATAGATAGCAATTAATTGGTAATAATTGACATATTCAAATTGTGATTTATTTTAATGTAGACAATATAATTAGTCGTGGATCGGTTATTGATACGTTATAATTGTATGTGCAGGTATATACACCATGAAGCCTGGACCGAGTAGTGATGAGGTCCTATATGACCAGCCTCGACACCGTTCACATGTTATATCCTTGACAGAGGTAACTAAGTTTCTTATAATTTCAATATTGCATTCTTATAATATTGTATTCTTATATATTCATTTGCTTTACAGAGAGGCCCGGATATTGTTATGGTTGATCATAGCCTCAGCCATAGCCGTTGGCATCTAGAGGATGAGCGCATAATAGCAGCTGTAGGACGGGCCGGCTTCTTGACATGTTCAAAGCTTCGTTGGATGAGGCTCGATTGGCCCCTACTCACCGCTTTGATAGATAGGTGGAGGCCGGAGACCAACACTTTCCACTTCCGAATGGGAGAGTCTACTATTACGCTACAGGATGTAGCTATGATACTTGGTCTCCGCATAGATGGTCCGTGCGTTACCGGCAGTGATAGACATTTTTGGCCGGACAAGTGTGAGGAGTTGTTAGGTGTAGCTCCAGAGTCAATGCCTGGAGGAAATATTAAATTGAAGTGGCTAAAAGAGACCTTCTCGGTGCTGTTGCCTTTTGATGCGCCGCCAATATTGATTGAGCAACATGCACGTGCATACATTATGCACATGATCGGTTCAATATTATTTCCAGATTCGAGTAAAGATAAAGTGCATGTCAGGTATCATTTTTATCAGTATTTATAATTATGTCTGTTGATTTAGCTTATTTTGATAACTTGAAATGTTATGAAAATGCTAGGTGGTTACCACTTATCGGGGACTTGGACACGTGTGGTGCGTTATCGTGGGGTAGTGCGGTTTTGGCGTACCTATATAGAGAGATGTCTAAGGTTGCATTCATGAAAAATAGTGACCTCAAAGGGTGTCTCAGCTTACTGCAAGTATGGGCATGGGAGAGGCTGCATTTGAAGCCGAGACTATGCGTGAATTTACAATTAGACGGACAAATTCCACTAGGATGCAGGTATTATATTTTTTAACGTAGTAAATATAATTGTAGTTATTCATTTGGTACTGAATTTTGAAACTAACACAGATGGAATGTCCAAAAATGTTTTGACGAGACCCCGGCGAGACAGTTAGATTTCTACCGAAATGAGCTTGACCGCATGAAGATTTTTCAGGTATCATTTCTATAAAAACGAGTTTTTTCTTCTATATATCAACTTTCGTTTTAATGATATGCAACAATTACATGTAATACTCTGTAGATGGAATGGGAGCCCTACACCCCATTTCTCGATCATCTACCCCCTATATGCACAGAATACCCAGTTATATGGAGAGCCAGAGTTCATCTAATATGTTTCGAGATAGTAGAAATGCATGTACCAGACCGCGTGCTTCGACAATTTGATCTTGCACAACATGTACACCCCATTTCTCGATCATCTACCCCCTATATGCACAGAATACCCAGTTATATGGAGAGCCAGAGTTCATCTAATATGTTTCGAGATAGTAGAAATGCATGTACCAGACCGCGTGCTTCGACAATTTGATCTTGCACAACATGTTCCGCAAATTGTTAAAAAAATAAAGAGGAAGGCAAAGAAAGGAGGCCATCAAAAGGACTGGGCAGCTGAGCATCAAAATTATATACACAGATGGAATGATAGACATTTTTGTATTGTTGAGCAAATCGAGCAAACTCCCCAGGAATCAGATTACTACACTTGGTATTGGAGGATAACTAGAAGATGGATACTCCATGCGACCACATCCCCGGTTGAGTTGCAAAGAGGATATGTGCCTCGGGGTATAGATGAGAGAGAATTGGTAAGTATTTTCAAATTTATTCATTTTTATTAGTATTTTTCAATATTGCTAAATTATGTTTTTTTAAAAATTTGTAGGTATCAGCAATAGATGATGTTCAAACCATTGCAAATTGTGGCCTGGAATTGGCTCGAGCAGGTAATATAGAATTAAATATAAAATTTACATATTATAATTTGAATTTTACAGTAATTTTTGCATTTCGGATTTTTTTGAATTATCTCTCGCAGGTACATATCCCGAAGCACAGAAACATGCATCAATATATCAGTCGATAATGCAGAGGCTTCACCAAGCCTTACATCGAACTCATGAAGACCTTCATGATGGACGAGAGGTAGCGCAATTAGTATACACACGTCAACCACGACAAAGACGAGGACGACGCAGAAACGACAATGAAGCTGGGCCTTCCCAACGTGTTGACGACGGAGCTGGACCGTCACAACCACAAACGCAACCGGATCATGAACTCATCGAAGGTCGGGATGGAGGAAGCCGAAGACAAAGGAGGAGGAGAAGAGTTCTTGGATGTATATAAGCTAATCGACATTGTTATATAAATTACAATCCTATTTTGATATGTACATAACAAACGTATTTCAGGACAATAGATGGTTTTTGGATTTGTAGCGGAGACTGTGGTGTGACTTATTAGATTTGTAAGTGGGTTTGTGGCGTGATTTGTTGGATTTGGATTCGTAAGTTTGTGGTGTGTTTTATGATTTTCATACATTACAAACGTATTTCAGGACAATAGATGGTTTTTGGATTTGTAGCGGAGACTGTGGTGTGACTTATTAGATTTGTAAGTGGGTTTGTGGCGTGATTTGTTGGATTTGGATTCGTAAGTTTGTGGTGTATTTTATGATTTTCAGATTTGATATATGTGTTTATACAGGGAATTAACATATGAGTTTGTATAGGAAATTGATATATGTGTTTATGCAATGGTGTAATTTATGATTGTTGCATTTGAAATGAGTTTGTACGGGGAATTTTCTCGCAGCAGAAATACATATTTCTGCATATTATGTGCAGGAAATACACGGGACTGCTAGTCCCGTGTATTTCATTGTGCCCAGGAAGTGCACGGGACTAGCAGTCCCGTGCACTTGGTTCGTTGCTCTCTGTAAAATGCACGGGACTGCTAGTCCCGTGCATTTCATTGTTGTTAGACCCTAGAGGGGGGTGATTAGGGTCTTATGCTAATCTAATATGATTAAATGCCAATTAATATATGAACAAGTTATATTCTTGCAAGATAGATATACAAAGAGTTAAGTGCAAGAATATGCAATATACACAAGGTGATATATCCTAGCAAAGAGGTATACTATATGATATATGCAAGGATATATAAACTAACACAAGGGTAAACAATATGAACTAGATAGTGGATCATATAAATAATGAGCTAATGACAATGGCGACAAGAATTATAAACACAAGTATAAATAAACGCCAAAGCACACTCAAACACAAGATATGATCACGGAGTTCGGACCTTCCGTCCTACGTCTCCGCTCCCCACTCCCGGGGAGAAATCCACTATCACAACCGGGTTTTCTACGTTCACCCGAATAACGTTTACACCTCACAGTATCGGTTTTCAACGCTCACCGATCAACGTCACTCCTCACAATCGGTTTTCTAGTTCACTTGTGAAAACCAAAACAGCTTAAACCAAACCCTTAAACAAGCTTAGACAAGCTTAAACTCTTTTTAAAACCCTTGTTTAAAAACTTCTTTTAAAACATTCTTAGATACATGAGAAGAGATCAGCAATGGGGTATTTATACCCTCTCACAACTCAGCCAAAAACCCCCAAGGAAAAGTCCAAAAAGCCCTAGAAAAATCAGCTCAGAAAATAGCCGTTGGAGTGCAACGGATCTATTGTCGGTCGACCGAAAATTCTGTCGGTCGACCGATGGAGAAGTTCGGTCGACCGACGGAAAAGTCCGGTCGACCGCTATCCAGGTCAAAACAAAAGAAAACGAGCAGAGACTTCGTCGGTCGACCGGTGCGGTCGACCGATGGAGCTTTCGGTCGACCGGACCGGTCGACCGACAGACTCTCTGTCGCCCAGTGAGCACAAGAACTCAGGTTCAGTCGACCGGTACGGTCGACCGGTGCGGTCGACCGAAATCTGATACACTCAAAAACTGGTTTTTAAAGCTAAACTTTGGGGAATGATTGTAGACATGATAATAAACATGCTACAATGACTGGTTATCAAAAAGGACTTCCCAAATGAAAAATATCATCATTTTACAAACTAGTCCAAAACATGAAAATATGAGATACTTGAATTTTGATGTTTTGACATAAACCAACTTTTGAAACTTTGTGAAATGTTTTTATAGACTTAGTAAAACATGTATAAACTGATATTGAAGTCTACAAACTAAGAATACAATATTTTCACAAATACAATAGAAAATAAAACCTATGAGTATGTATATGAAAATATATTTGTTTCATATCTATGTAGATAAACCAAATCACATATTTATAAACATGAAAACCAAAACTTGTGTTGTATTTATATGTGATTACATATATATACAAAGAAACTAATAAAATGTGTGTGTATAGATAATTGAGCTTAGAGTACTTAACACACATAATATAAATCCTAAACTACATTACCCAAGCAATCTTGATCTTCAATGAAGCTTGACTTGGTACACGTTGCGGATGAAGCTTGAACTTGATCTTTAACTATGAATTGCAAGGCTTCAACCCGACATTCTGCCAACCTCCTCTTGATATGATCGTTGAAGCTCTATTCCATCCATCCTCCAACGACGTTGTTTGTCTACAATACATAAGAATGTACAAACACTAGACAAACAACATTAGTAGTAAATTGTTTGTTAAACATCATCAAAACAAAGAGGCCAACAATTGTGCCCTTGGTTCGTTGCTCTCTGTAAAATGCACGAGACTGCTAGTCCCGTGCATTTCATTGTGTATTTTGAAATACACGGGACTAGCAGTCCCGTGTATGTCGTAAAAAACTTCTTGCAGCAAAACCGACCATTTTCAAAAGAAAAGGGTCGGTTTTGCTGAATAAAATGAGATAAGGTCGATTTTGCTATTTAAAATGCTAAAAAGGTTGATTTTAAAAATTTGTCCTAAAATTTCATCACTGATGATTGAGAATAGAAACGCCAAGGTGATAGAAGTACACGTTCGATCGTCGTAGTTGCTGTACGGTGGTCCCACGTGAAGGAGTATTGCTTGATCGCATCGCTCGTCGTCAAGGGGGAGTTAATCTAAGCGCGCAAGAAAAGAAAAAGAACAGGGAAAGACGAAAACGAGAAAGGGGGGAAAAATCGAAGTCAAAATCAGACGGAGAGATGCAGCAGAGATCGGCATCGTCGGCGGCGGCGACGGCGGCGACGAGGAAGCGGTGCGAGGGAACGGCGATGGGATCCATAACCCTCGACCTCCGCCCTGGTCTCGGGATCGGTCCCTTTACTCTCGGTATCTCCTCTAACCCTAACTTTTGCTCCTCTAATGCTCGCGATTCTATTACAATCACCCGAAATTTCCCCTTTTTTGGACCTAAATCACTTTTGATAAGAAGGGATTTAGGTCAAGGATTTCAGTAATTTACTCAGTTTTCATAGTTCGGAATGTTTGATTGATTAATCGTGGTAAACTATTAAGAGGACTATAAGTTTCTGGTGTATATACGCTCACTTCTGCGATGGACGTTTAGTATAAAGATCATGCTATTTTCATCTTTTGTAAACTTATGTTGTGTGCCATATGTTTAAGACGATGGCTTTAGCAGATTAAGTCATAATGTTAGCATCTCTAGATTGTGCTTAAATTGTTTGTGGATATAGGAGAGCAATGTCTCTTTACAAGAATGAAAATTTGGTTAAAAAGGAGTTATTTGAACTTAAACACAACACAGTTTACCTCATTCTTTTTAACTTTGATACCCCAAAGATTTTTCTTTGCTCAAAATATACCCCAAAGTTCATCAAAACTTGACTTTGATGCCCCAAAGTTCTACAAAAATGTAACTTTGATACTTCAAAGCTGTACAAAATTCAACTTTGATGCCCTAAAGTTCAAAAAAATTTAACTTTTGATGCCCTAAAGTTCAAAAAAATTTAACTGATACCGAAACTTAAAAATTTTGTTAATATTTTGCTAAAGTTTGGAGTATCAAAATTAAAATTTTATTCAAATTTGTTTGGGTATCAAAGTTAAATTTCATTGAATTTTGGGGTACATTTTGGGCAAAAAGAAACTTTGAGTATCAAAGTTAAAAATGAGGTAAACTTTAGGGTACTTTTTGGGCAAAAGAATACTCTGGGGTATCAAAGTTAAACAGAGTGAACATTCAGGTTTTTAAGTGCAAATAACCCAAAAACAAATATATGTTGTCCATTCTAATTTTTAAACCAACCGAAATCAAAGCTAATTATAGAAGGGAAAAAAAAGCATAGTATTGGCTGTTGTGCTGTTAGTGAAAGTTACTTTGCTGAGTTCCTAGCAGTTAGCTGGTTCATAACCGGACATGTAGTGCCTTTTTCATTTTTTTTATTGTTTTTGTAGCCATTATCTTCGTTTTAAGACTTTCCATATGCGAGATAGTACATCAAGCAAGCAAGTTAAATGTTGAAACTTTAGGCTTTTCAAAATGAGATTTTCAGCCTTGGTAGCTCCTGTAGAAATGGTGATAGGTCTACCTAGGCTCCATTGACAAAACTCCGGAGACTTTTACTAATAAACATGAACTAGCACTGCGAACCGTGTCAAGATTTCAAAACTTGCTTATTAGATATTTGAATTTATGAAATCGGCAATGCCAATATTTTCTTTCAAAAAATGTTTGAAAATTAAAACAAGACGCATATAAAATTGGGCTTTATCACTGTCAAGGTTTTATTCCAAATATAACATACAAAATTTCCCTTTTTGTCTTTGTCTCCATCATTTTAAATTGCAATTTTTCTTCTGATATAGGGATGTCTATGCGCGAGGCATTTTCCCAAATAGAGCATCAACCCAACATATACGATGTGGTCCACGTGAAATATCTTGATGAGGTCTGTGATGTCTATTTTGTTAATGTAGATTTCTGTGATACAACTTCCAATGAGTATGAGTTTTTTTTAGTTTTTGTTACATATGAATTATCTTGTTGGAAAGTTTTCATTGCAGGATATCGTTTATGCACTAATACGGTTATTCATTTATGCATTACCAAAAGCTTACAATTCTTGTCTATGTTTAGAGTAAATAGATTGGGCACTCATATATTAGATTACCATATACATTTCATGGCTGGGGGAGCATTCTCAGTTTTGGTTTTTTTCGTAACTTTGAATTGTTTTCATTTGTTTTCTCTGAACATCTCAATGTGACTGCAACATTGCTCTAAATGGCAGCATTTATAGATAAAAGGAGGTGGGAACATGAACAAACATTTTGCATGTGGATGTTTGTGTTGGATGTTAAAACTGCTGTCTCATAACTTGCAGTGCAGATAACTAGATATTCCCATCCATCCAAACCATCCATCTCTCTACCTTGTACTTCGCCACTAACCTCTCTCTTTTCATAGAATTACATATTATGTCAATGGTGGTCACACCGCATACCTTCTACATACACCATGATGTTCAATTCACTTTTAGAATCTACTTATTATGCAATATCCTAGTTAGGTTTGTTCAGACCCACGTAATAACATATTGTCAGAGCCCTATGTTCCTGTATTATCTTGTTTAAGTTATCACCTCATCTAATATTACACTAATATGTTAGTTTATTTGTAATGATAGTAAGTAAAGGTAGGCCGTCCATTTAGCTTTATGATGTGAGGACCCATAAATTATGTGGAGGATTAGGATGAACATGTTACTTTCTAGCTTGACCAAAAGTTCAGCTTTAACTTATTAATATAGGTAAATTATGCTGGAAATCAAGGAGAAATCTCTTCAAATGAATTAAAAAAATCAGGACATCTGTTTATAAATACCTGTAGTCCACCACCAAAAGATTTTGAATTTTATATCATGTCCAACTTCATCTCCAAAAGTCAAAAAACTTCCTACTTGATTAATAAGGTAGATGTCTATTGTGAATTAAAAATGAAGTATGGAGAGCCAAATCACTGTAAATAATTTGCTTCTATTGTGTTACATGTGTGGTTAATAAAGGGCCAAGATGGACCTTTTTATTTAATACATGGAATGTTAATATTGTCTTCTTCTTCTTGCAGGAGCCATTGAAACTGGATACTGTTATTTGTTTTCCAGATCATGGTTTTCATCTACGTTTTGATTCATGGTCACAAGTAAGTTCTTGCTTTTTTCATTTAGTTCATGTTGAGTGCTCTAATTTGTTTATCCTTAGTTCTACGTACATGAATGGAATTGACTTTATGTTAGTGGCATATGTATGGTCTATTTTGTTTCATATTTGAAGTTCGTTTCTGAATATGTTTAGATCTAGTGAAAGCTTTTCTTGGACTGAGTAGTAGGCCCTGATTAGATTTTTTTTCTTCAGCCTTCTTTTGTGTGGGTCTAGAGTGGATAACTCCTACCCTCTCTCCTAACAGGCAAAAAGTTCCTTTGTAAATATTGTTTGACCTTCTTGAATTTGTGTACCTTCAATCACAAGCAAACTCTCTTCCTGTTCATTCAAGTTCTGTCCTGTTTCCTTGAGTCAAGGGCCATTAGTCGATAGAGCTATAGCCGTCTTCAGAGGGAGGGAGGGAGTGAAATTATGTAAAGAAAATTTCCACATCTTATCAGAGAAATGGGATAGACCATATAGGTTTTCCAATTATTGCATGGTATAAGATTGCATAAGGGCGATAACAGAGATATAATTTCTGAACTAATGTTTTTCTTGTCCCTGCTTATTTTAATTTTTCATATTGCAGTTTCATTATTACTTTATGAATTATAGTATTTGTTCTTCTAAATGTTTTAAAATTTTGATGTTGTGGTCTTCCTTAGAGATTGCGGCTTATTGAGGTTTATGATGTCAAACGTCTTCAGATGCGTTATGCAACTTCTTTGATCGGGTGAGTAAACTTTCGTTCACTTATTCTTTTCCTTATTGCTTTTTTTGCGCATGTTTACTTGAGCAATATTTTCTCTTCAGCGGCCCTTCCAGTCTAGCCACTTTTGTAGCCGTATATGCACTTTTTGGCCCTACATTCCCTGGAATATATGACAAAGAGAGAGCTATATATACTCTACTCTACCCGGTACACCTAGCAAATACATAATTTTTTTGCCTTAGTTTTTTCACCGTCAGTCCATGCTCTCTCAAGTTGATATTTCCTTTCAGGGATTATCCTTTGCTTTTCCTATTCCCAGCCAGTACACAAGTTGCTTTCATGATGGGGAAGGTGCATTTCCTTGTTTCTCAAGTTCAAAGTAACATTGCATTTATTGTGCTATTAGAATACGCTGTTTCTTAGCTATTCCTTATTAATTTTGGCAGTATCAGCAGAGCTCCCTCTTGAATTTCCTGATGGAACAACCCCAGTGACATGCCGTGTGTCAGTGTATGATAGCTCCTCTGACAATAAGGTTGGTATTGGATCGTTGATGGATAAAGCTTCAGTTCCTCCATTGCCTGCCGGCAGTTTATACATGGAAGAGGTGCATGCTAAGGTTGGACTCTTTTCTTCAGAGTATTTTCTGAAGATAATGTTCTGGTTGCATCATGATTATTGATGATTAACTTAGTGGAGAGATGACACTACGGAACTAAGTGAAACTTTGAAAGAGTAGGATTCATGTTACTGACCCCAAAATTTTGGGATATTGGCTTTGTTGTTGTTGGTGGCGTTGTTGTTACGTCATAAACATAAGCAGGTGAACAACAACATCAACTATAGTTACAAAGCAGTTCTTCACCACTTTCTAATCCTCTGGATTTATTGATTATGCTATTTATCGTTTAGATGTATTGTTACCATAGGTGAGTTGTGGCATCTTGATGCCTGTCTGAAGCTCACTTTTTCTTTTCCTATATTAGATTTCTCATCATGTTTATGCCTTCTACTCATCTTACAGTATGGCTGTAATTATATATTTATGTTGATGGACTAGTTAGCATGTCTTCAAAATATAATGCTCAAGAAAAAAATGAAGATTCACATTTTGGCTGCTTTTGCTTCATGTTTGTCATCTTCCAATTGTTACTAAGTTGTTGAGACATGCATCAATATGGATATGACATGGACTTCTTTCTTTCATTGTTTTTGTGAAGTGATTGTATTTTTCTGCTTCAAATTTATAATTTTGAGAGACGTGGTAATTAACTGAAACCTTAGATTAAATTACTGGCCTCTGGATTGGGAATTCTGATTTACATCTGTTTTTTTCCAGCTTGGAGAAGGATTACAGTTCACAATTGGAGGTCAGCACATACCGTTTGGTGCATCCCCACAGGCAAGGCTCTTATTACTTTGTGGGTGTTATTATTCCTTTTGAATAGGTTATGCTATATTATTTGTTTTATACTGTGATAATTGTTATTGTGGGAGCTGTCTCCCATCAAAAAGGACTGGGCTTTAAAACTCTTCTCTGCTAAGGCGAGTTCATAATATTTATAGTTTTTCATGTTACATAAAGCCAAATACAAGTTGTGTAACGTTTTTTTTTTCAAGAATGCTCTGGGTTTAGATTTTGCAAGACCTAATGTGGGTCTAGAATAGTAGAAATGGTTGGAATTTACAAACCTTCTGGATGTGAAAATGTATCTTTATGAAAAGAGCAAAATTTACTTCTCATCCATGCGGACCATGCATCAAATGGTTGTGACAACTTATAAAAATAATACAAAGAATAAGACCACATGATTAATGGGTAAATAGCACTCATATCTCACCCACATGAGGTGAGGAGAGAAGGATGATTGGTGTAGGTCATCGATTTGAATGGTTCATTATAGATTTTTCATTGGGGACTATGTAAGGAATTTTCCCAGTTATAGCTTACTTCGTGTGTGCGTGCGTGCGCATGAGCGCATATGCATATGCAAATGCAGAAAGTTGCTCAGTCAATGAAAAGAAATTATCTTGTGGCAACATTTAAGGGTATCAAAGAGACATGCTATTTCAAAGGTTTTCCCAAAGGCGAGCATGTTCGCAACCCAAGGAATGATCAACTGGAGAACTCAGTAAAAATGGGTCCTTGCTCTTATTCTCGGCAAAAGTAGAGAGAACTCCAAGGAGAAGGGAAAATGGATAGAGAGAAAAGAGAGAACTCTCTTGAGATACGGAGAAAAAATTGTGAGAGAAAGAGAGAGAAGGGAGGGAGGGAGGGAGGGGGTAGGGAGAGAGGGAGGGAAGAAGGGCGGGCGCCATAGTTTCCAAATCATATATATGCCACTTTGGCTTCTTTCATGGTTCACTGTTTTAGTCTTACTACTACAACTTTTTTTAATATTGTCCTATAGGCTTAGATTGTTTTATCTTTAATGTTCTTGTTTTGTTGCTTCCATATTATATGCTTTCTTTCTCTGGATGTCTTTTATTAATCATATGTTTCACTTTTGTAGTAAATTTTAAATTTAAGCTCCTTCTCCCTTTGCTTGATGCATTATTTTGTCCATAAGTGTTTCTAAATGTCTGAACCCTTCTTGCAGGATGTGTGGACTGAACTTGGGCGCCCTTGTGGAATCCATCAAAAGCAGGTTTTTTCATCCTGTAAAATTCATGGTTAATCATCATAATGAGACATAAAACCAAAAAATTATAGGTTACACTTCGAATTTATAAAACTTTCCTTGAAAGCATGTTGTTTTACATGGCTTGAATTCAGACCTTTATGTCTAAGTCTTCTGTTGATGCAAAAAGAGCATTTGTCTTTCCAAATTCTGTTAGGATTAAATTTGTAGACTTTTCAAGATTTTCTTTTAGCTTTCAGTGTATAAATGGTTCATGGGGTAAGAAATTTGATAAGCAAAGAAAGAAAACTAATCAGTTTATGAACTCTTCTTGGTTGATGAATTGAGTCAATGATTAAGATGCACTGAAAAGGACATGGTCTACTAAGTATAACGGACATCATTGGTACCCAATGATAAACTAAAGGACATCATATGTTATGAATATATGTAATATGTATAGTATATGCTTTTGCATTTAATGGTTCACTCTGCACTAAGGAGCAGTATATATTGTGAACTTATGTGGAGTTATGCTTCTTTGTTGATGTCAGTCCACACTTGATTAATTTGGCAACCATCATCTGTTCTAGATCCGGCAATTACATTCATAGTTGTTGGGACTCAATTTGTTCCTGTTCACTGGACTGGTACGAGAGTGTGGTACGCCACTCATTAGGAATTGGGTACGAGGGGGTAGGCATATATGGTACGCTATTTAGCGTGGTACGTATTAGGTTCGGTTCCTAAATGTAGGAGTCAGAGGTTTTGCAGCAGTCAAATTTAAGAAATTTGCTAGTTGATGTAACTAATGTTAAAAGAACCTTGAGAATTATGTTGCAATTAAGGTATGCATACTTTATTTGCTTAAATTTTCACGTTTTTTGTTGTTTATTCTATTGAAAAAGAGTTATTATTTGTCGAAATTTTAATTGGTTTGAATTCTAAATTGGGTCACTAGAGTTGGTGAATCGGATCATGTTCCGCCGTGAATTTGGGATGATTGAACCCAGGTCGCTGTTCGCTATAACATCCCAGGTTCTCGACTTCTATGGTTACGTTCTTACTTTCTGATATGGCAAAAGCACCTTCTAGTAAAACATCATAAATAGAAAATCCCAAAAACTGCAATAGGTTAATAAATTAAGTATGGTGAATAATGCTATTTAGAGAAGCAATCTCAATAAAGTTCTTTTACGTGCAGTAACTTTTGTTTCAGGATCACTAAATTACTCTACTCTTTAGCAGGAGACGTAATAGGGCAATGCAGTATATCGAAAGGAATCATGAAATTGAAAATAAAACTAGATGACTATTTCTTGGGAACCATTTTATTTCTTTGGAGTTGTGACCTTATTCATCTGGTGGCATCTCAAAATCAGTAGTTAGCTTGCATTTGAGACACTTGATACCATATATTGCTGATTCCTAAAAACACAAACTCAAGAATATGATATTAACAACATCCAGATATATGTAACCATGCTTAGGTTGAAGATACTATAGCCATTTCCAATTGCTTTACTGTTAGAAGGACATGTCTGCGAATGATATATTTTATATTGGATGCGCTCTAGGTGCCAGATAAAGATGCTTGTGTAACGCCCCAACCTGTATAACATTTAAATATTCAAGATCGGCATGACCTACTTAAATGGTAAATGGTGAACCTGTACAAGTATTTCATATATAGGCATATCCATCCAACGGACATAACCCATTCTCCAAAATATATTAGGTTGACAGGTAAGTATAGCAGAATCTCTATACAGTGGTGACCAGCTATAAAAGCACTTAAATATACAAAAAATTTGCCACTCTGAAAATTTATATTACATTACTATTGTGTTTTGTTTATATTGCTAGCAAAAATGCACTTGCAAAACCCGTCTAAGCTTCTACCTACTGGTCACTTGTTCTAGTGGGGTCCTTATTCTTGCTTTGGATTGCTTCCTGTGGACGAATGCAGCCACAGAAATATGTGGTGAGCGAAAGCTCAGTAGGTAATTCAAATGAAAGTTAAGATTTAAGAATGCATCAATGGAGAGATCAAATGTAGAGGAATGTTGTAATATTCAAACATGAGAACTGAAATATCAAAATTACCAATCAGATGACGAACATGCTCTATTTCCAGGATTCTGAGTTGTTCCCAATCACATGACTACATCGCACACATGCCTGCAATTATAAACTAAACTCATTGTTGAAGTGTTACTTCACACGTAGCAATGGTCCACCAAAATAGAGCATAAAGCAAATATTTGTCAACAACAATATCATGAGAATTAACTTCACAATGAGGTCTCATCAAATGATATATATTTTTTGATATAAAACCACTAATTGGGCATTTTATTGAGCTGTTTGATCCTCAAACAGTACATTAGCAATGATGTTCTGGGGACCACCATGCCATAACCAATGGTGACCAAACGAAATAGAGGCCCTCGCTAGATGATGAGCCACCTTATTACATCATCACTGGACATGAGAAATGGAAATAGACAAAAACATATCAAGTAGAGGAAAACAATTCTCTATCACAAGGCCAAAGTCGGTACGATCCGCCAATCCGTTGTTTTAGACTCCTTGCTACTTTAATGTTGTCCATCTCGAGATCAAGTCGTTGGAAACCCAATTCCTGGGACATTAATAGACCATGAAAAGTAGCACACGCCTCGGCAATGTCCGGATTCATCTCAGGATCGGTCCATGCCACTGCTGACACAAAATTTCCCTCTTCATCTCTCAATATAGCACCTGAACCTGTCTGCCTTTGCACTTCAAACACTGCTGCATCAACGTTTAGTTTTATCCTATCATGAGTTGGTTTGAACCGCCTTGGGGCTCACGTGGAGGCGTTTCATGTGAATGAAGTCTTTTTTGCTTCCTTTGTATAGCTTCTTTGAACTCAGCTAAATGACGAAGGCCCTCATCCCAGACTCGAAGAGGAGTTACCTCCTCAGCATGCATGCCACACAATCTGATTCCGAAAAAATCATGACCACCATATAATACACCCAACCCATGTTCTCCCCATCTTCACTTAGAGAAGCAAACAAGCTACCCAACCATTCCCGAAAGCTTGAACCTGGAACATCATCAACACAGTGGCTCAATGGGGATGCCCACCATACCATACGAGCAAAAGGGCAATCACGCATAATATTGATAACATTCTCCTCTTTTTCACGGAAAACACAATTCAAAGATGATAAGCTACATCACCTTCTTGCTAGACTCACTCGCAGCAGACGAAAATCACCATATGCATATATTGATCATCATATTTCCTCGGATGTGATTAACTAGTGTGTGAACTATTTTCCAGTTCTGAAGTTAGAAAGCCGACATCTACTTGGTAATCTTATCAATAATTTATTTATACAAGATTTATTTTTCCCTTTACTGGCTGATCCTATTTGGTTCATATATGTAGTTTCAAAGTAGGATCACTCTAGAACTCGTCTTAAATTGCCCAAGGACATAACATGTCTCTTTTTATCAAACAAGACAGACCTTTGTATTTCAGTCTGTTTAACTAGCTATTTCTAAACATAATAGTATGTCATATACCAATAAATTGTATTTGCTGTCCAAGTCCACTTTCTAACAATGGAAACGGGTCGTCAATACGAGTTATATAGAGAAAGATATATACTTACTACTATAATTGCACATAATTTTCTAAAACAGGATGACAATTTCTATATGCTACTTTACTTGACTGGTTATGGTATCAATTGATACCTAATTGCAAAAAAAATTATACTATCATGTAGATATATCTATCTAGTTTCATACTCTTCAAACAGTTTATTTTTACAGGTTCCATAGCAGAAGATACATATGATTTACTCTCAAATTTAGTCCATAAAAATCCCTCAAATAATTTCTTCTAAATTCAGAAAATAGTGTTCTTGCTAGTGGAAGACTTTATAGCAAAGGTTTGGTTGAAGTTTGGAGACTAAAAGCAATAAGCTCAAGGTGTAAAATCTCGAACAAAATCATTGTTATTGATTGATAGAAATTTGCTTCTTTCTCCTTGGAAATTAATATGAAAAATAAAAATAAACTAGGAAGACTAGAGTAATTTAGATTGTATTTAAGATTATTGAAGAAAAACTGTTCACTAATTTGAGAAATCTTAAAATTACGATAGATTGTTTTGGTGATGTAATTAGAGCTTGAAACATTGAATTTTTTTGCGATGGATGAAAACCTCTCGTCTTTCTATGTAGGAATCCTTTCTTCGAATCACTTCTTGCATAAGAGAGTAGACAAATAGTAGAACATTCTGATGTAAAGTTTTACCAATTTTGTTGTCAATTAGAACCCGAATTAGTCTAATACAATGGCTGTATGTTACCAATACAGCTCTGCTTCAACGCATTCATAGTAAATCTAAATCATATATATCTTCTGCTGTACAAGTAGAAATGCACTGTTTGAAGATTATGAAACTATATGGATATATCAACATGTCAATATAAATTTTTTTCTGCATTTAGGTATCATTTGATACCATAACCAGTTAGGTAAAGTAGCACATAGAAACTGTCTATCCTGTTTCAAAAAATTATATGCAATTGTAGTAAAAAGTGTAAATCTTCCTCTGTATAACTCATATCGACGACTCATTTGCGTTGTTAAGTGGACTCAAACAGCTATCCATCGATATATAATTTATTGGTGTACGATATACTATTGCTCAGAAATGGGTAGATAAACAGACTGAAATTCAAAAGCCTGTCCTATTTAATAGAAAGAGACATGATGCACATTTGACAATTTAAGATCTGTAGAGTAATCCTATTTTAAAACTACATATATGAACTGAATAGGACGAGCTAGTAAAGGGAAAAATGATCTTGTCTGAATATACTATCGATGCGATGACTAGTAGATGTCACAACTTTCTAACTTCAGAATTGGAAAATAGTCCACGCTAGTTAATCACATTCGATGAAATATAATAATCTCATGTATGTATATGGTGTAAACTACATGTGTATCACACTCATCGTTCTGTGTTTGATTTAGATTTCTAAAATATGCCTTCCACTTAGTTTTGCAAATTGGGTAACTTATTAATTTGCAATTTTGGGAGTAAGCTTTTGTGACTACCCTTTGTTACAAGTTGTTAGCATGATGTACTTCAACTATTTTGGATTGATTGTCAATTACTTGCCTATTTTTATATAAATACATTGGTGTTCTGGCCAGTTTCTGGAATTCTTTACATGCATTGATGATGACTGTTTCTTTGGGATGTTTATTGAGTCTTATTAATGCTAACGTGGAGCTTTCATTAACACCATATCTTCTTGAGAAAAATTGTTCAGGCTGATTTAGTCCTATCTTCGGGCTAAATAAATGTACATTGTTAATTCTAAATTAATGTAATCAGAGACTAATTTCAGGTCACTTTTTATCCGTAGTAGTTTCCATGCTTAAATTTGGTTACTAAAGGGGGCAAAAAATCCTTTCATAATTAGGTCGATCAAATGGTGATTCACTCTGCTTCTGACCCACGTCCCAAGACTACTCTCTGCGGGGATTACTTTTACAATTATTTTTCCCGAGGTTTGGACATATTATTTGATGGCCAGGTATTATACTCACAGTTCAGTTATAGCATTTATACCTAATATTTTTCTTAGATTGATATAACCTCTATACATCATGTGCAGACACATAGAATCAAGAAGTTTGTTTTACACACAAATTTTCCTGGACATTCAGATTTCAATTCCTACATAAAGTGCAACTTCGTTATCTATGACACCAACAGTGAGTGTCATCCCAACATACTTGATTCAATTTACTTGCTGTTAGAAATAATCGAATCCCAGAATATTTGATTTGAGTTATTGATGTGGGAAACAATTCACCATACAATCTCTTCGCAGCTGAAGACCCTACTCAAGGGGGGAACTGTCTAAAAAGTTGCATTATGCCAAGTACAAAGTGGGAGCAAGTGAAGGTAACAGTGAGTAATCTTGCTATACATTGTTATTGTTTTCATATCATTGGAGATGTAACTCAAAACTCTCTCAGAGGTCACCTTTTTGATGTGATCAGATATCTTGATGTACAATGATTGAGAATGCTTTGCACAGCAATGATACTCTTTTCACTGCCCTGTGTTTTGGGTGGTTCTTAGTCCACTACACATTGGCCGTGGTTCTTGTGTCATGGATATTTACTGGTGGTATAATAATTTAAAATTGAAGTTACCAAACTTTTTTTCTGTTTGGTTGCTGAGAAGTCATGTTTTATATACAATAGAACACGATAGTGGTTTCTTTGTAAAAATTTTTTAGTTGGTTCCTTAGGGATTCTGTATACTGTTCTTGTTGATTTCATGGAAAATAAAAGTTTTTAGAAGGAACTATTGGATACTGTAGACCACTTTACAAGAAACCAACAAACTACACGCTCACACACACTGTGCGCGCGCGCTGTCACGTGTGTTCTTGCTAATTTTCAAATGTCTGCACCTGATAAAGTGTTTGATACTGAAGCATTGATCTTATGTCTGATTGTTGTTACCGTCATTTTAGGAGATCCTTGGGGATGGTGGTCGTGCTGCAATTCAGACACAAGGCTCTATGAATAATCCTTTTGGATCAACTTTTGTTTATGGTTATCAGAATGTAGCTTTTGAGGTAAAATATTCGTAACCTTGGGCTTTTGATTTTTTATGATCTTATCCAGTTGTGTTAATTTTCATCACACTTCGTTACTATTCTTTATTCGTGATAGTTTGTTATGGATAGTTTGTTATAGACCGGTGATAACCGTGGTTCTTATGACTTGCTAGGTTATGAAGAATGGGTATATAGCAACTGTTACTCTATTCCAGTCATAAGGTCGGGGTATAACAACTGTTTATTTATTTCAGTCACAAGGTATGGTTTGTGCTTGATGCTTTGGATGCCATGCTTCATTTTTTTTGCTACATTAGGATGTTAGTGGTTAATGTCTAATAAATCTCGCATTCTTGTGTAGCACAATTTAATTCCAGTGGTAATTTTGGATTATATTATGTTCGTACTTGATGTCCAAAATCCTCATGGACACAACAAGTCTTCTCTATTACAGGACAAAACTTTCTGTAGAGTAGCTAAATTTATCTTACGTAGGAACATGTCTATGTCATGATATTTCTTGAATTTTTGTTGCCCTTTTCAGAAATAGAAGTGTTCGTGCTATATAGTTAATGATATGCTGCATAAACTTCTACCTCAGTTAGTTTTGTAATAAATTTTGCTTACCTCGGTGTGTAATATTTTGTCTTTTACAGGAAGGTTGGATTTGTACAGGAGCGGATATTTAATACCGAGGACCTTTGTACAGTGAAAGTGCTGTCCTATGTGTATAACTTGTAGTTCACTTGTAAATTAATTAGATTTAATGGGGGGAAAAAATAACGTATCTCAGATGGTTCTGCTGGTTGGGTTATGCCCTTCCACAGTTATGATTGCTAACTCTTACTTCCAAACTGAGGGATAAGATTTGGAAATTAATTATCCATTAGCAACGTTCTGTTAGTGCGCCTGCTTTGGTTGAACATTTGTTCATTTTCTGTGTACAGAAGTTAGTATGTCAACTTCAGTTTGAGTTGGCTTTGTTTTTTAGGCTAGTTTACATTTCAATACCTTGTTGATTCGCAAAGAAATTACAAAAATAATAATAAAATAAAAATGAAAAATAAGCAGACGCTTGTATACCATAAATTATAAAATGGAGCAAATATATAACTGAAGTTGTAAAAAATGTGCAAGATGCGACTTACTGTTAAACAACCGCGAGAATCTTCTCTAGAATATTTTCACATGCCCGTCATTAACTATGTTAGATGTCATCTATTCTCATTGATTGTATTAATTACAGCTTTGTCTACATCTTTATCCTCATTAAGTATTATTCAAACTTTTCTTCTTCTTTTTCTTTGGCTCTTTCTCAAATCTGCGAAATCAGGGCATTATCGTAGATTTGCGGGGCAAATTTTGGGAATTTTGTAGGAAACAGTAAGAAAAAGGGTTTTTCTTCGACCCTGGGGGATTATTTTGGAAGAAGGATTATCTCATCCTTTTCGGTAAAATTTAATGACACCAAACAAATTCACACGAAGAGCAACTTATGGTGTTTTTGCCCCGTTTTGTAACTTAGGGTACATAATCCTTTTTTTTTATATAAAAACAATAGGGTATTGAAATGCAATTTAGTTTTTTTATGAATTTGATTCTCAATATGGATTCTGGGGAACCGAGTGTATTTACAACATGAGTTATGCTGCTGAAGTATTATTCTATTCTATATTTTGAGCTCGACTGTTGTTCTATGTTCTGAGCTCGACTGTGGTTGGAGTTATTCTCAATGTTTGTCTATTTTGTGCGGGTGGTGGGATCAATTTCCATTAGGCCGATTACCATCGGATATTGGTTGATTATTATGTAGGATTATTTATCTATACTCTTCAAATATATCCCTACTTGTATAGTTGTTAACCCAAATCTGGCTATTTATACCGCTTGACATTGAATCATAATGCCATTCTAATCTAACATCATATAGTTTTCCAATAAAGCAATATCAAAGTTTTCTCCTATATAGTCAATCGTTGTATTGATCATCAATTCATCATCCTATCTGGAGACCTATTTAAACGTAAACAACCAATCGAGAAAAAGATTCACGGTTACATCAAAATTTTTGACAACCCATAAGATTTGGGCAGAAGTAAATTTCACATTGCTACATTGTTGAATAAGTAACTAGTTGAATGGTTTGGATATGATGTAATTTCCGTTTGTTAACTAAGAGTAATCTCAAGAAAAATGGAGGAGCTATGATCAAATTAATTTCTATCTCATGCCAAATGTATTGGTTGATAATCATTATAGACGACGTTGATTCTCTATTACTTCGTAACAAACAAAAAAAAAGAGAGGAAAGAAATATTTTATTAAATAAAAAAAAAGATAAAAAAAAAATAAAATTCTTCATTGAAATGATGTGACTCAGCCATTTAGGAAATCTATTGAGAAGAAGAGGGAAACCATCAAAAGCCATTAGCCAAACAGACCTTAAGC